ATTCCTCTCCTGACACAGTTTTTTATATCCAAATTAGCATAATTGCTAAAGCAGAGCAAGTGAAAGCTTAGCCTGCCCCTCAACTACACTTAACGTGGAAACTTTCTTCCCCTTCAATTTGCATCAGCTCCTAATTGAGATTTTTCCCCACATCTCCTTGATCAACAAAATCTGACCAAGTTTAGTCAGAATAACTAAATTGTTATCAGGTTTTTCGTTTTCAGAGGAGTCCACTGCATTATCGTAGTTTAAGAACAACAAAATCATACATCAGACAGTGTAAATCCACAGATATCTACAGATGAGCCTTTGCAGGCCAACTTTTGATAGCTTTTGGTACGTTACAGACTCTTCTCAGTTTTTGGACTAAGGTGTAAAGATGCGCTAATATGGCTGTAAACCTGAGATAATAGATCTTCAGAGCAATGCTCATTAGATTAGACTTGGCTGATGCTGGCCAATGCTTTTATTTGCGCTCTGTTTTAATGCAGGAATCCCTCCAGCCTTCTCAGTTTACAGCGATATTTGTTCATTTCTAGCTGAAAGTATCAAGTAAATACACATCTGGCCCAAATCATTAGGGTGTTTCTGGTGTATGTGAGTAAGAAGATAATACAGAAAAAGCTTGCCTTTTTTTTTTTTTTTTTTTTTTTTTTTTTTTTAAGAAGTATTTTGAAACACTGATGTGCACACTCAGTTATCGAACTGAACAGGATGTTAAAATGCCATGGCAACATGAAGGCCTGAAAATTTCAGTTCAAAATCTCACATCCTCACTTCTGTGTATCACTGGAGCTAGTGCTACCACTGTCCAGATTTCAGTGAAAGTATTCTTTCTCCTCCAAGGAGTTCTCCTTTTACTTAAAGTACATATAAAGCAGCATGAGGGCTGACTCTTGAGTCAGGCACAGAAGATATTCCTTACCTGGCTTATTGAAAGGCATGCAGTAAAATTGGGAATGGACCATAGAAGCTCAGACTTTTTCCTCATTTTACATTCTAGCATTATCAAGGAATAACTGCAAATGAAACAACTAGCAACATGCAGGGTGCTCAGCCAGCCTGTTCTTGTGTGGTTGAAACTGGGGGGGGGATGACTGCAGTGAAATTTGAGGCAGTCCCAGTTTTAGCCTGCAGTACTTTGCAGAAGCGGTCAGAAGGTGATACATTTCCGTGATCTGTAGCGATATTCGACATGACATCTGAATAAAGGTCAAGTCGACTGCATGAGGGTTTCTTTCTGCAGCCAATCTCCTTTGAACGCCATGGTTAATTAACATGAGAATGTCGCTTTTACATTCCATTTGTTTAAAGCAAGTTGTTTCCTTTGCCTTTATAGTACATCTAATCATCCAACAGCAATCCTGAATTAAATGCACTTTTGATTGGGAAAAAAAAGAATCAGTTTATCCATTAATGTAATAATAATTAATAATTCAGATTGCAGGCAAATAAGAACTCCATAAAAAAGGCAAATGGTAAGATAAGATGATGTATAGTGAAGTAGAAGAAAGGTATATAGGTGCAGACTGGAATGGATGTCTGGCTGCTTAATCTGGAGAAAATGATTTTCCCAAAGCAGATCAGTTCTGAGCAGTTTGACAAAGTTTAGTTGAATGGCCATAAATCAGTCACTTTCATTGAGAAAAAGAAAAAAAAGAAGAAAATTAACTGTTTATGATGGGTGTACTAAATGTTATGTGCTAGGAGATGTTACCTAGTTGTGCTCATGAATTTTCACATCACTGAATTATGTTATGTAAGTGTGACAAGTGGTGAAGATCTTACTGTAATGAAGATGGTAGGTGTTTGTCAGCTCCTCCTACCTTTGCTGTATTGATATTGACTGAAATGATCATCTGATTTCTTTCTACAAATCACAAGATTTCATTATGACTATTTTACGGGAAATAAATTTCAAACAATGTAGAAGTTGTATCAGAAATATTTATAAGCAGAATGATAGTATGCTGAACTGAAAGACATCTCAAATTCCTCTTCTGTAATTTCTGCCCATCTATATAGACTATTTGTAGCTGTTAATTATGAAGCTTTACCTCTTCCTGTGGTTGTTTAGGCTGTAAGATCACTTAGACTGAAACAATTTTTTCAACAATAGTAAAAATAAAAATTAAAAAAATACTGCATTAGAACATTTGGAGCACCTCCTAAAGATTTTTCACCCAGTATTTCAAAAATATTTTTTCCTCAAAATGCCTGTCTTTACTATACAGTAGGGTTTTGTTGTTGGTTTGTAGAAGAGTTTCGTTTTTAAGATGCAATCAGAATTAAGAAATTGATCTGAATGATGGTTTTGATGGTTTTCAAAAATGAGATCTGAACCTGAAGTTTCTCAAAGGGGTGATGGCAGCTACTTTTAAATGTCGTCTATGTGAGCTTTACTCGTATGTGCAACATCCAGACCTTACGTAATGCATTCCTTCCACTAAAGATTGCATTGGCATGAATTACCTTGGCGAGAACTGGGATAGAGGAAGAAACTTTTCTACAGAATCATATTGCAGTCTTGGTTTATCTGTCTTGATTTTGCTAAGGCGCTTTACTGAAAAATAAATAGGTAAAAATAAGACCATAACCGTAAGACCAAAGAAGCTTTTGCAGTGTTTTACAAGATCTTAGCGTGAGCTTCAAGTTCAGGACAGGACAGCAGCAGGCTGTTTTTCCATCTCTCACTATCTTCCTCCTGCTTTTGCCTATTTGTCTTGCTGGATTTTGGTTCAGAATGTGTCAATCGGTGCAGTAGTTTGCACAAGTTCTGTTTCACAATTTTGATTCAAATGCCAAGTCGCAGATAATTCTTTCATTTTCTTTGAGCACCTATTATGGTGTATCTCAAGTATAGAATCTTGAATGGATGGATGCCAAAAGGAAGCATATGTTTTCAACTATTTCTCCAGAGTTCTACAGTACTTACAACTAATTTACTGATATGTTACTAATGGTAATGATCAAGAAATTACATATGTTTGGGAGTAACACTAGATGCTTAGAAACTTAGAATTATAAGTCATTAGAGAACTATTTAAAGCTCTGCGTCCAGATTTTACATGTTTACTGAGTTTTTTTTACCCTAAATTCTAATTGGCCTTTTTGGCCTTGCTTAAAGTTTTAGGCTTAAAGTTTGAGAACCAAAAGAAAATTCACAGTTGAATTTGCAGTATTTATCTGTTGTTGTTTTTTTCTTTTATCTGAAACCGAAGTAAGCTGAAATTATGAGTCAACCTAATTTTACTGTCCTCTAACTGCATACTTTACAACCTGACTCATATCCTAGGAGCATAACATAAATTGAGTGAATGCTTGCTACTGTGGTTTCATAAACAGTCCTGGCAATAGTTTTACATCTTGCATAGACAATGGAAATGCAGTGTTTGTTACATTCTTAAGGGCATTGTTTCATATACTGATGTTTTGAATTATTAGGCATTTCTGCTGTATTAGTTCAGATAGCATTACCTTACTGAATTTTCTACACGGTGCATTTTGTACTTGCACCAAATATTGTCGGAGCTATTGAGACTAGTCAGGAATGGGATGCCAGTGGTTTTCAAAGAAAAGCTCTGATTCCAAGAGGTGGGAAACTATCCTGTGTATAATACAAGATTTTTATCTCTGCCAAATCAAATTATATATCTAGACCTGTAATATTTTCTTGTCTGTTAGGCTTTCAGTGTTAAAGAGGTATTTATTTGTGTTTTCATTTCTTAAGAATATTGATTGACTGGATCTATAAATACTGAACCTTAATATTCAGTGTTAACTTTCATAGTGAATTAGCTACTTCTGTTCTTCACTAATTCAACTTATAATTTTCTACTGATTAATGGCAACATTACCTAGCAAAAGGATATTTCTATATAATTTACAATAGTTTTGATTCTGAAAGTTTTTGAAGTTGGAAATTTGCTGTCTGATGATGAGAATATGAGAAAGCAAATGAGTAAATGCTATATGTTTTTTATTTATCAATGCACATTTATCTCCTACTGGTAAGCTGTTTAGCATATCAACACAATTTTATCATCCAGGTGCTGGTTTACTATATGTTAATGGTCTCAGAAATGTGATCACACTTGGAGGATTCCTAATGTACTTATGTCTATCTGCATGTATAATTGCGAGTTGCGATTTCCTTGTATCTTATAGTTGCTGATATATTAGCATAAGAGGAATTCCTCAAGATAGCCATCATTTTGGAGTTTCTAGATTGCAAGAATAATATATAATGGTAACATTTCTACATTTTCCTCAGTATTCCCTTTGAGGCCATAAAAACGTTCATGGCCACTTCCAAGGTTCTGGAATCAACTTTTCCACTGGTTGACCCGAACCTATAAGTGAATATCATTTATATCATATTTTTTCATCCACCTTTAAGATTATTATTTTTTTACTTTTATTTTTTAAATAAAAATACATTCTCTTGCATGGTTGCTGAGCTTTGGTCATTTCTTCTCCACTTCTGTGTTCACCTTTTTTTTCTTTTTATCTCCATAGCCCTTGCTTCTGCTTTTTCTTCATCTTTGCATCTTCCCATTCTTCTTTGCCCTTGGGAATTTGTCCTTTAAGTTTGAACTCTCCTGTTCACCATGAAGAGTCTAGTTCTATGGTTGAACAATCTTTCAGCACCAGGAGATCTTTCTAACCTTCTTCCACCTCCTTTTGAAATCACTTTTTACACTTACGTTTCCCCCAGAATAATTTTAACAATTATTTTCATATCATCATATCTTCCTTGGTCACAGTGACCAGTTGGAAAAAATACATTTACATTGTAAAGTTATGTTACCTTGAGTAGCAGGGCAAGGCAGTAATAGCACCTCTGAAGCCAGAATGTACTTTTAATAATTGTTGGCTTAGAGGTCCCTGTATCTTTTAACAAGTTGTCCTATTAATACCCTAGAGTGCTTTAATTTTAAATGAAAGATAATAGCTGCCTTATCTCTAAGGAAACTGGTCTTGATTTTATTAACTTACAGGACAGAAGAATAATTGGCACATATCATTGTCCAGAAATGTATTCAACAAAGGTATCTTTCATTGTTTTCTAATGTTTTATCCTCAGAGACTTAAGATTCAGATCCTTACCACTTAATGGTCATTAAAGATCCCATGGCACTTTTTTTTATAGAGTGGTCATCTCAACACCAAGCATGTGGCCAAATATCAATTTTTGTAACTATTCTGTTTACCTAACATTCCCCACCACCACTCACCCACCCCATAGTTTCAATTGGCTATGGCATTCTCCATTTCCTCAACTAAAATATAGTGTATGATTCTGCATTGTCAGACCCAACCTTTTACCTCACAGGTGATTGCGCTTCACTGAGAAGTGAAGTGGTTCTTCTTTCTAATGCTTGTAAAGCGCTTTGGGATCCTTTAGAATGGGCGGTGCTGTTAGTCACAAAAGCATGTTTTATTTAGAGTTGGGCGAACCTGCTTGGTGCAAGCAACACTCCCAGCTCTCTAATCTGACAAGGAACCTGTTGTCAGAGGTTGAAAATTTAGGTTAATTTTTCTTGTTATTGGTATTGTTTTATTTTCACACTCACTTGTACTTCTGGATTGGAACTGGGAGTTCTGATTGGGAATTCAAAATACCATGAAAAATGCAGTTCTTGTAGCTCTCAATCTATCTACTGTTTCAGGTTCAGAAAGGTCAGATTAGGGCTAGAGAAGCACCTGAAGTTTGTGGTGTTTACACGGCTGTTCTAACACGTGATGGTTCGCCCATCCCTAATTTTTGCTGTATTTTGAATTATTTCTTATGAAAAATTCTTGAAACATTGAGCAATGCTTTGTTCCAACTCTTATATTAATGTGATATGTGCAGAAGACACTTTGCCCTAGAAGATAGTCTTAGAATATTGCTGAATCTTCTTTCTGCCCGTCATCACTAGTGTTACTAACTGCTGCCAAAATTACTAGATAGCTGCAGCAATTTTCTCTGTTAGAAACATATATTCAGTACATTTTTTACTTCACTGATTTTAAATGTAAAATCCAATGTCAAATGATTCAAACCAAAAAGTCAGCTGAAAGAATGATACAACCAGTATACTAAAATATGTCTATATCAAATTCTGTCAGACTAAACTTTTCTTGTGTTACACAGAAAGAGCATGAGCGTGTAAAGGGCATTCAAATTTCTGATATTATGGATCAAAAGAATGAAATGTTTAGAATAGATTCAGCCCAAGAACATTTCAGATGTGAGCAAATATGTCGATGCCAAAGTTTTTCCAAACACAGTATCTTACAGTGCACAACACTGAGATTTATGTAACCCAATCTCTAGGCTTTCAGTTAAAATCACTGCACTAGATGTTATGTCAAATTTCCCCTTGTGTTAATTGGGACTAATTTCTCTTCTCTTGGTAAAAAAAATTGTGAAACCATATGGACACTGTAGTTTCTAAGTGGCTTTGCATTCCTCTTGTAAGATAATTTAACTACTTTCTTTTGAACATTCTTAAGTTCAGGGTACTGGAAGTCCTTTATGTTTTTTTTGAGATCTTATGACAAAAATGACAGCCAATTTTGATTTACCCCAGAAATCTCTTCAGAATTTTCTAAATAACTGTACTCAGTACAGAAATAAATAAATAACAATCACAAGCTCTCTTGAGAAGTTTTTGATATCTATTTGATTTGATGACTTTTCCATTTGCTTCCTTTTATTTGTACTGCAGTAACATAACACATTTTTTTAACTTAATCCTGTTTAATGCAGATGAAAATTGATTTGATGTCCTTCCTGGCTAGAATGCAATATTTCCCCACCATGTTTAAAATCGTGTTGGGAAGTCCTTAAAGGAGTTTGTCTTGAGTTTCAGGCCAACTTTTCAATTTTTATAGAGTTTCTCAAAAACAGTTTATTTCCCTAGCAAGCTTGAGATTTCAAAGATTTTATATAGTTTTAATTGGAAGCAAACAAAAATAGGTGATGTTGGCTGTCTCACAGTGAATCACTACATTTAATCTAAAACTAAAATTGAAAGAAATTTAGAGGTGTGCAAACTCGCAGATTGAGAAAAAAGTGTGGGGGGGAGAGGTGGAAATCTGGCATCTCAATGATGGCAATTCAGAATGCATCACTTGAGCAGATGTAATCACTCAAATGGCAGTGTTTCAGTAGGTCCAATGTACTTTCGTGAATTACTGTATTTCCAATCCGTAATGGTGTGCAATAGATCCTCTTAAGAAGTTAATATTTTCAACTCATCATGCCGTGTGAAATGTTACAGAAGAGATTAATGCCATGTTGTTGGATAGAAATCCACAAAAGTCACTATTTGTGCACTTTTAGTAATAATTGTATATATTGAATACACAATAAACGGTTAATGTAGATCAATTATTTTTAAAGGAGCTCTGGGACAGTTCCATTTCTTATTAGATGCTGAATGTATCTGCACTGCCATAATTCAAGTCTTTGTAGTTATTTAGACACTAATTGCCCATTATTGCTTTTCAAAACATTGTTATGCTCTATGATTCTATTCTTACACAATTCAAAATACATATGTAGAAGAGAAGCTGAGGTGAATTAGAATTTCCAAGATAACTAAATGGATTAATTTGAAGTTCACCAATCATACTTTAAATCTAATTCCAGACTGCCTAGGAAGGAATAGAATTTAGTTCATCTTCGAAGTCCTCTTAACTTTCTAAGTTTTATTTACAAATCTGCATTATTTTCTTCTCTCTGAAATGCATTAAAAACATATATAGTAATCAAAGCTACCCATTGAAACAGCTGTTTGAAGTACATTTGATGTGATTACAGTCTGAACATTATATATTTTTCCTTGCTCGAAATTGTAGACTTCTGCTATTCCAGTGTTTTGCACACTGCACTTCTGTAGCACATTAGCGCTGGGGAACAGGGATTCTACATAGTTTAGATTATACTATCAGCATCTTTCCCAAGCAACTAACAGTCCTGTTTGGAATATGGGGACTGGCTATTCTCCCATGAATTGCTTAGGAGTTCTTTATATTGAGGCAGAAGACTTTGTGAATACATAAAGCTTTTGTCAGAACCTTTCATTTGAGAGAAACAGAACAAACCAAAGTAAAAAGCAGACGCTTTTCCATTTGATTGCCTTCCAAAATCCCTGAAAAGCACAATAATAGCTCCAGATATCATAACCAATAGCAGAATTCCACATTCAGGAACTGATAATATACACCATTTCCAAGTATTGTTTCTACTCACTAAATGTGGTATCTAGGGAGACACCATCTATTCTATTATATATTTTCAGCCTAATTGCTCCTTGAGTTTATAGATAAACAATAATGATTAGTCACAGCTTTGCTTAAAGCCTTTCAGACAGGCTGGCATCCAAAGAATCAGTAGTTTTGGATCTGGCCCTTGTCAGCATGGCTTCAGTTTGCAACTGAATGGGCTTCCTTTCTTACTTTGTTAAATCTGCCTTCTTGTTTCTTACAGATGGATCCGCATGAAAATATTTTGTTGAGCACTCTTGAAATTAAAAATGAGATGGCTGCCTCTGAGGCTGTGATGGGGCTTGGGGACCCTAGGAGCACGATGCTGGCCTATGACACTTCAAGCATCCAGTACCGGAAAGCTGGCTTACCCAGACACAGCTTTGGTCGCAATGCCCTGGAGAGGCATGTGGCACAGAAGAAAAGTAGGCTACGGAGACGTGCATCTCAACTGAAAATTACTATCCCTGACTTGACTGATGTAAATGCCATAGATAGATGGTCGCGCATATTCTTCCCTGTTGTTTTTTCCTTCTTCAATATTGTCTATTGGCTTTACTATGTGAACTAAGAAACAAAGCCACACAGGAAGCAAGAACTGGATTTCTCTTCAAATCAGTTGTACAGCCAAAAGTGGGACTTAGAAAAATTCTATTCAGGACAAAAAGTTATTTTAAAACACCTTAGTTGCTGGCCCACTCTATGGTATGTTTCTGTAACATTTTGGTTGTTTCTGCTAAATCATAAATATATAAATTTGCAGTATGGACGTATCCCCTTTATGAAAATATAAGTGTATTTCAAATGTGAAGGCAAATTAGATTCTGACAATCATCTCTGTCTCACTGTCTCTCACATCTTTTTTTTTAAATGCTCATGTGAGTGTAGTGACACAAATCAGAGAGGCATTTGAAAAAAAAAGTTTTGTTTCAACTGCAGTATAAACCACTCATTCCCTGAAACTGCGTATCCAAGACATGCATGTACACATATTAGAGTGTACTAAGGTATTATCGTGCTTATGAAACACACTTTACCTTTCAAAGGTGTAAACTTGAAAACAAATAGTGCCTATCATCTTTCCAAGATGATGATGGTCAGAGGTTTCCCAACCGCATTCAGGTGTTTCCTGTTATTTATTGAAAGAGCTAAACCTTTGACTGATAATATTTGGGTTGGGTGTTTGCACAGATACTGAAGCAAAAAGCACTAGTTTTGTTTGGGTTTTTAAGAGATAGCATATGCTCACAGTCCCTATGACTGTAGCTGTGATCAGGAGAGGAATGTAGCAATGGTGTAAGACAAGTTAAACAATCATGTCCTGAATGGGTAGATGTAACTGTTTTTTTGTGTGGGGAAGGGAGTTGTTTGTCCAATGTGCCAAAAGTTGGTTGGCCAATTAGTAGTTCTCTTGGTGGTTGAAGGAAACCAATGGTGCTCTGCCATTCCACTGAAAGGTAGAGAACAGTTGAAAACAAAGCACCAGGGAAAGTGAAGGCTACATATTTGTAAAAGTATATATACATATATATATATAAAAGCATACTGTGCAAATGAATGTTGTCAGTCGTAGTACATACCTTAGTCTGAAATATTCATGTAGATTCGTGTGATTTTTTTACAATTTGTTATCTTTCTAGTGTTATGCTTACCACTGTCATTATGCTTTACACCAAACATCCAGATTGATTGAAGGTGTCATACCTCTTTTTAAAGCAAAGAACTGAGCATTCGTATTTCAATACTGATGAGTTTTCTCTCAGTCTGGATTAAGCAATACCATTTCAATTTTTGTTTTGTTTTGCTTAGTGGACTATTTTAAAGGGAATAAATTGGTAGTTTACACTATAGCATCGTAGAATGGTTTTGGTTGGAAAAGACATTGAAGACCATCTACTTCTAACTGCTTGCTTTGGTAGGGTTGTGACCCATGAAATCAGATTGCCCAGGGACTCATCTAACCCGGTCCTGAACACCTCCAGGGATAGAGCACCCACAGCTTCTCTGGGCAGCTCATTCCAGTGCCTCGCCACACTCATGGAAGTCTCTCCTAGGGTGTTTTCCATTGGAAGAAGTACTAAAATTCAATTTTACTTTTGGAAAATACATATATATATATATATAAATATATATATATTTTTCATTCCATAGAGCTTTAATTTTTTAGGCAAAGTAGATTTTCCCATTTAGACCACTGTGCAAAAGTTTTCTGTAATGAAAAACTAAAAGTTTTCAGGAACTGCATAGAAAGTATAAATTTCTGATGGCTTCTATAAAATTAAATTCCCAATCTTGTTTAAAAGAAAATATTTAATGAAGCAAAAGCCACATGCTACTGTATCTATGCTACCTCTCACATGTGCAAATTTGTGAAATGAACTCAAATTTCAGTACCTTCCAGATATCATAGGAAGTGTTTTCATATGTAGATACTTTTTCCCCTTATAACTTTGGCAGTGCTTTAAAATAGCGTATAAGGATATTTTTGATAAAATATTTTATTTGAAAATTTTGTTCGTGCTTTAAAAGAGTAATTTTCCAACAAGTTACTGTGCTTTCCTGCCCCCTTTAACAGATAGGAAGAAAAGACTTGTGGGAAACATAGGAGACTTTTTGACTTTGTTTTGAGCATAAGACATGTATTCATTTTTCAAATGAGAGATTACTGTTTTGAGGCTGCATTTCATGCACAGTGCAATAAGCTTTGCAGATGAGTATGGAATTTCAAGTATGAATCATGCTGCAATTTTTCCCAATTTGTAGAAAATTTCAAAAGTGCCACATTTAAATGCAGAATTTCTCTTCAAAGTCTGTTCATTAATAATGATACCCATTATCATAAATAAAAGCCGTCTTATAGTATTCTACTATAAAAGTTTTTCTTTCATTTCACAAATTGCTATCCATTCTTTGTGTAGGGTTGGGTTTGTTTTGCTCTTATATTTGTTTGTTTCACAGAATCATAGTGTGAACACAGGTTGCTCACAGCTTGTTTGTGGTTGATGCACCTCAAATATGAAACTTTACAAAAAACATGTTGTTTGTCAGCATTTACTGCATGAAGTAATTATGAAAACCACAGAGGCTGAAACTTTGAACTGCACATTAGTTTATCTGAAGTTATAGTATAAGCCATAATACTCTCTGATGTCACTGTTCAGAGTGTGAAAGAAAATGTTTGGTTTTTGCTCAGGTGTCACTAGAAAAGACGTATTACCTGGGAGGAAGGAGATCTTTTGCTTTTACAAAGTCCTTCTGGCTACTAATGTGGTACATGTAGTAAGTGAAAGGGAAGGTTTCTTCCAGAAATTGAGTGGTTATCATTTTGTACTTAAGGCTCAACACTGTGATACAAAAAGATGCGGGTAAGAAAGACTGGCGAGGCACTGTCAAGGGAAGAGTAGAACTCAAGAGCCCATGGTGAGCACTTGCTCTTTCTGAGATACTTGAGTGAAAGTGAGAAATTATGCCAATATTCATGAGGCATGGGTACTAATGTGTGCGCTACCCTGCAGGTAAACTAGAATAAATTTGCTTTTACTTTAGAACTGACAGAAAATATTCTAGATCCTACTAATTCTGTTGATTATTGATAGTTTCAATAAGCAAAATATAAAATTTAATTTTAGGTGAATCTTGTAATGCAATTATAGTCACCATTTTATTGTTCTAGACATGATAGCCAGCAATTAAGGTGTTTTTCATCTTATCGAAATGCATTGGCAAATTATGACTATAACATGGCACAGTTTTAATGAAATCTTTGAGATCAATCTGTAAATATCTACTGTATATGACTGCTAGTAAGTATGATACACATTTTCAGAACTGAAAATCCATGCAACATATTTCCATGTTTGCATAAGGAATGTTATGTTTCTATCCTATTGCAATTTAATGACTGGGAAGAAAGACTCAAGCAATGCCATTGTGAACATTTCTTTTCTTGCTCCTGAGGAGGAAAGCAGATAATAGTATGTCACAGAGTTCTTCAGAGTTTTTACATTCTAATACAAAGGATATAAAATCTGTAAGGTACAAAAGCACAATGCATAGAGAAAATGAGTGGTGGTCTTGCACCTGGGGAGCAAATCCTTATTTCAGACAAAATATGCATTAAAATTAAGGTTTGATTATTTTTCATTGTAATTATTAGTCTGTGTTACAATTCTATAATTAACACAGAACTTAAGTGAACAAATGTTAAACATTATCCAACTGTATGTGCATATGGACATGTGTCTGTATGGACATATGTGTGTATATATACACGGTGAGTATATATATACACAAACATTCATATGTTGGTGTGTTAAAGGAATAAGCTAATAATACTTTTGTTTCTATCATCAACCAGTGTATGATTATATTTTTGAGAAAAAAAAATTAATGTATTTAAAAAAAACTTACAATACAGGGTAACTGGGCATTTCTATATCAGCAGATCAATGCATATAATTCGTATGGAACATTGCACCATTTGACATGATGGTAGTACTGTACCTCCTAGCATCAGAAGTTAGACTAGTCCTCACATTGCTTGCCTATTTCTTCTCTCTCTTTTTATAACAGCATTGTCCACTAGTAAGTTTTCAAAAACAACAATTCTAAGGGAACCAAGGCAAAAAGGCAAAATTATTAACTATTTCTAGAAAATCTAGAGTGGGATGGCCAGGGTACAATACTATATCATTAGTGATCATTACATTTTGCTATGTGTACATAGAACATACAGTGTGAGCAATCATAACTTAAGCTGAGCGTGTGTAAATATTATCAGATTTCTTAAACATTTTTAACTCCTAATTTGTACTTTATGGTAAGGCAAAAAGCTAATTCTATGGTTTAGATTATTGTGTCCTAAAATTATGTAAATAATGAAATAAGCTGTAAATGAGCAGTCAATAGATACAGTAATTGTTTAGTGACTTTTTTTTACTAAGTACAATAATTGCAGTGCTCTAGCAGAGTAATTTAAACACCCTTTTGCATAAACAGATTTGGATACCAGATATAAAAAAAATTAGAAAGTACTGAGGTGCAAAATAACCATTTCAGCTGTATTACTGCTAGCACAATGGGTTCTCTTGTATGGTTAAACCGTTCAAGCAGCGGAAGATTGTAGTTTGGCACTCAGTACTCAGCATAAACAAATAAGGCCTGATTTTCACATACAGTAAGGTACCTTTATGTTGCTCCTGCGAGTGGCGATGTGAAGGAATCCAGGGTAGGTGAGAATTCAGCTGCTGGTGATCTCATTACAGAAAGTCTGCATACTGCATCTCTTTCTGCAATCTGTATCCCTTATGGTATCTAATAGTAGATTTACAGTTTTTCTTTAGAAAAAAAAAAAAAATATTTGACTGTCATTAGATAGCATAGTCCCCCAAAGCCAAAGAATCTTCACTCCAGAAATTGTTTAAAGGAAATCTAGAAAGTCACTGCTTAACACCAAAGGTAAAGCTTAATAAAATGCACTAGGAATTTTGTCTAAATTTTTAAGAAGCTAGTGGAATGTTGATCAAAAATACTGCCCTATTCTACTTTGTAAAAATAATAATAATTTAAATATCCATTAATATTAAATTGAAATAGATCACCTCTACAAAAAATATGCAACGCGGACATTTCGTAAGTATAAAATTATTTTCTTTGTAAGTGCTTTGACAAAAAAAAAAAAAAGATGAAAAGTTTCACCTATACTTTCATACTAAGGGTTGTATTTTTTTATTGTTTTTCAGACATAAGGTCATCTATTCCAATTTGATAATGTTTTGTATGTTTTCACTGTTAACAGTCATTTGACAATTATTCACCAGGCT